GGTTACCCAACTGAGAAGGTGCGACATCTCACGGCACTTTATCTTGCACCGCCATCTAGGCGGGGTTCTCAAGGTCCTCATGCTTGCGTAGTTGCCAGCATCAAGTCTAGTGTTCTTGTTTAAGCAGTTTGCTCTGCGGTTTTCCCGCTTTCCTGTGCCGTCACCAAGCCTTCACTTTACCACCACCGGCTCAACATGGCTTCTAAAGTAATTAGTGCGGCGAAACTTCTCAGCAAGAGGTCGCATGTCATCCCAGGTAATTCTCCATGTAGGATCGTCTAAAGATCAGCACTGATCAAACGACAGGTCAATTCCTCGTGTCTGAACTCTTCTTCGAGGTTCCAAAGGACTACAGCAATCAAGCTTCGGGCGTTCTTCAATTGTTTGGCAGAAGTGTCACTAAGCACGAGAGGCCCATAGTCCCTCCGACAGAAAGTGAGAAAAAGCAGGCAGAGCAGAAACCATGGATGGTATTTCTGCAAGGCGGGCCAGGGTTTGGTAACCCAGAGCCTCAGGACAGTCCCATCACTCGCACTGCCTTGGATCGAGGATACCAGGTCCTGTTCTTGGACTATCGAGGAGTTGGACTTAGCTCTCCCGTCTCCGCTGCTACCTTAGCCCTCGAGGGCAATGCTCAGAAGCAAGCCGATCATCTCAAACTACTTCGCCAAGACAACATCGTCAATGACCTCGAAGCCGTTAGAGCCTATCTTACTGAAGACTTCCCGGAAGAAAAGAAAAAGTGGTCCCTCTTCGGTCAATCGTTTGGCGGTTTTGTGTCTCTCACCTACCTTTCGAGGTTCCCTCAAGGCCTTCGGGAAGTCTTCCTCACTGGCGGTCTCGCACCTGTCGGCAAGTCGCCCGAGCAGGTGTACGAGGCAACCTTCAAGAAAGTCCAGGAGAGAAACCAAGCCTACTACCAAAAGTATCCTGAAGACATCGAAGCCGTCCATCAGGTGGCTCGTTTCCTACAGGAAAAGAAGCAGGTCAACCTCCCTGGCGGCGGATACCTCACCATTCCAAGACTGCTCACTCTTGGCCTTGCCTTTGGTGCTCATGGTGGACTCGACTCGGTGCATTCGACCATCCTCAAGCTGAAGACGGACTTGGACCAGTTCGGCTTCTTCACGCGCGCGTCCCTGACGGACGTTGAGACGGCAACGTCCTTTGACAGCAACATCATCTATGCTATTTTGCACGAGGCCATCTACACTGATGGACCGGGTTCTGTCTCCAACTGGGCAGCCTACAGAGTCGGCAAGTCCTTGGAGAAGTTCTCCTGGTTGGCGAAGGAACCCGCTATCTCCGAGTTCACGGCCCCGCCCCTCTACTTCTCGGGCGAGATGATCTTCCCCCTACACTTTGAGACATACCCGGAGCTGATTGAACTGCGCGAAGCCGCCGAGATCCTGGCCAAATTTGACCAGTGGCCGGAGTTGTATGACCAAGAGAAGCTGCGCGAGAACACTGTGCCTGTGTACGCCGCCGGCTACATCGACGACATGTACGTCGACTACGAGTTCGCCAAGGACACGGCCGCGCTCGTCAAGGCCAAGGTGTACGAGACGAACCAGCTATATCACTCCGCGCTGCGCGCCAAGACGGAAGAGGTGATGAGGGAGCTTTTCAAGCTTCGTGACAACCCAATCGACTAGTTTGTACCTCTATTCATCACTTCACGCATGTACATATCTAGAATCGCCTCAAATGGGTATCTTCGCAGCCGTTCTTTTCCAGAATCCACATCTCTTCTCTAGTTGCCCCAGGTCAGTGGTCGCGAACCCCTCAGGGTTGACGACCCATTCCTTGCTGTCCTTGAGGGGCGGCACACCAGCTTCCGTTGATGCCGACAGTTTGAGCGCATTCGGGTCACCCGTTTGGAAGAAAGACGCAAACGCCCCTGCAACAGTAAGTGTTAGTGATGGTATTTTACCGTAGGCAACATGCAATCTTGTGTACTCACCGGCGTAGCCCTGGTAGCGTGCTGGGTCCGTCTTTTGCACGGCATTGACCTGATTCCACTGCATACCTGTTAGCAACCCACCGACTAGATGCTTCCCTGAAGAGGCACCAAAACTCACCCAGACGGTATCGCTAGCATGTTTGGACGGGTTGAGTGAGTATTCGCCCAACCAACCCCCCTTCGGCGCTGCGCCCGAAAACCAAAACGCCGGACACGACAGAACGACGTCCCGGTAAATGAGTCCGGCCCGCACATACGTCGTGTTATACGAAATCGTCTCCGTCGTGCCAGCCGCAGGATACAGCCTCTTGACGCCCTCAATCTCGCAGTCGCCAAAGCCAGGGAGGAACCCCCTCAGCCACTTGTCAAACGAGGCCTCGCTCGAGTTGAACGGCGGAGACCCGACGTCCGTCGCGCTCTGGAGCCCGCCGGGCAGGAAATTCTCGCCCTCGTGCGTGTTGTGCATCGCGAACGCCAGGTCCATGTTCACCCGCCCCGCCGTGGCGGCCTCAGAGAGCGGCTCTCTGAGGAACTCGCCGTCAATGACAGGTGACCACGTGAAGGACGATGTGTTCGTGACATGCGAGCTCGAGATGGCGAGGCTGGCGTCCCGGATCGTCTGCACGTCCGCCTTCTTCAGGCAGGCCAGGCTATCCTCGGCGCCGGCGCATCCCGTACGGGAGGCGAGCTCGTCGTAGAGAGCCTGTGCCTCGGGGCTGTCGTGGGCGTACGTCTTTGGCCAGAACGGGCTGCTGGCCATGGCCTTGCGGAAGAGCTTCTGCTGCCCCCCGCGGCCGATGGCCTGCGCCAGCACGCTGCCGCCGCCCGCAGACTGGCCCCAGATGGTCACGTCGTCCGGGTCACCGCCGAACTGCTTGACGTACTTTTTCGTCCACTTGAGTACGGCCTCCTGGTCCAGCAGGCCCGGGTTCAGATCCGACTTTGGGTCCGCGGCGATCTGCTTCCCGGGGAGGAGGCCAAAGGCGTTTGTGCGGTAGTTTGGGTAGATGAACATCATGTCGGACGAGCTTGAGACGTTGAGGATCGGGTAGGCCGAGGGCGGGATGCTGAAGTAGGCCGAGCCCTGGATGAAGCCGCCGCCGTAAAAGGTGACGACGACGGGCTTCAGGGGTTGGTCTTGCGTCCAGGGGCGGGAGTAGAGGCCGAGGTACAGACAATCTTCGGAGCCGTTGACCTACAAATGCGCCCAGGATCCAGTCAGCACAACATCTTCTTCTTTCAATGACTCAACAGCCACGGAACCACAAGATTGAGAGCATACCGTCCGTTGAGGGCACATATCAAACGGCTGGCTAGAGTCATACACGACACCCTCCACCGCCGCGGGGGGCTGCGGCCCCCGGAACCGGTTCTCACCCACGGGAGGCGCCGCGTAGGGAATCTTCTGCCAGTACGAGATGTTATACTGGTCCGAGTAGGCGCCCTGGAAGTTGCCGTAGTCGAGCTCGGCCAGGAGGTGATTCTGCTCCGCCTGCGCCTGCAGAGCGGGGCCGGAGGTCCTAAAGGCCGCCGTCAACGCCGTGATCACCGTCGCTACGGTTCCTGAGATGGGCGCCATTGCGGTACACGATCGTCGGGGAGGGTGGAAGATCCTCCTTTCGGCGTGGGGTGGCGGTGTTCAAAGAGGGAGGAGGGTAACTTCGATGAGCAGCGGCGGACTCGACTCGACTCTCACGAGGCTTCAGCAAGAACGCCGGAAACGAACTGGATGGACTTTAGCTGACGCTGGTGGCTGGAAGACGATTATTATACCTATGTAGAGACAGTTCGCCCCCCGTTGCAACCGATGGCCGCCCCCCAGGGCAGCCTAAGGAGGAGGAGGAGGGGGTCAACCAATGGATGTAGGTAATAATCTAATCCAAGCCTGTCTGCCCAATCTACACTAGTTTGCATTTCCACCATACGTAGTACATCCGCCGTCCGGGAACAGAGGACCAATTCGGGGCCTGTTCCGGACGAAAGCATCGCGAACAACCCCCAAGAAGCAGGAAGAATGTAGAAGCTGTCATTGTTGCTTTCCTCGTGCCTGGTTCCGTGTGTGGGGTAGCTAGCGCCGATGGTGGGGATCTTGGGCGGACAAGGTTTCCCCTCTTGATAAAGCTGTTTTTCACTGGCTTCCCCGGAGCTGCGGAGCTTCGAGCAGCGCTGAACAGCCTGTGAACCAGTGTCCCCGACTCCCCCAGAATCAGCAAAGCTGGGGGTGACGGGGGGTTGGGGTTCGTTCGGGGGTGGTGGGCTCGCGCCGCTCGGTATTTCTGCTCAATCATGCCCCGAAAGTATTCGTATGGATGGCAGATTCGACCATGCAATTTCTCCGCCGCAACCTTTTACTTTTTTCTCTTTCTACTTGTGATGGATCAAATGGCATCAATGACTCTCTTACCCTTCGCTTCTGCCGACTCGCTTGACACTCGCGGGCCCGCGTGGATGCGACGGCTAGAGTCTGTTCTAATATCGCGATGCAACAAACCCTACCTTACTAACCTTCCACTACCTATTCATTCCAAAATTGACCGACCGCTTTTACCCTGCCGCCACGGCCCCGGCGCAACGCAGCGCAGCGCGCCGAACCGGGCTGCTGGCAAGAAAAAAAAGGGTCACATGGGCCAAAGACCTGCATGGATTTTGGTTCGATCGGATAAACGGGATGCGCCTTTGTTTTATTTCAGTAATTTCTTCCCTCGCTTTCCATCCAAATAACGGGGTAATATCTCTTTCCACAATGAGGGACCCGTCGCCGTGGGACAAAGGCTCCCGAACATGGGGCTCCATCGAACAGAGTTTCTTTCGCCTTGACCACTTGACCACCCATGTAGCAAGCAACGTCTTCGCTTTCCTCCTTTTTCCCAACAACATACAGATACAACCGCCTAATACCTAGTCATGTCGACGACGATTTCTTGCCTTCATGTGCCGCCGTCTCCATATTCTCCTCTTTGTTGAATAAGACAACCATGGCAGACAATCCCTATAGTGCAGACTCCATCAAGAGAAAGCCGTGCCTTTTCCTAACCACTTAAACACCAAACGGTCCTGGATGCCAATGATGCGGCGGCGGAGGCGGCGGAGGCCGCATATGAGGATGCATAGGCGGCGCAACCGGCCACATAGGCATGACGTGAGGGTGCGTCGCCCGTTCCATGGACGGTAGCGCCCTACTGCCTAGATCCTCCTCTCTTCGAATGGCTGTCTCGCGGAGCATAAGAGCCGCAACTTCTGGATGCCCAATCAGAAATTCCGACGTGAACTGCGGCGCTCGTTGCCAGAGCAGAGGCTGTAAGAAGCCAACGCGCGCAAAGATCATCCTCAATAATGGGTCAGATTCAGGGACGCCGGCGTAGAGCTTCGAACAAAGTTGCAACACAATCGACTGTGCTGCATCAGGTCCGGCGGATTCGAGCATGTCGATGCAGTGACGCTGGATCGCAGTTTTGAAGTCATCCATGAGGAATTTATTGGCAACAATGTATACCTCTAGACTTAGCTCGTATGTGAGCAGAAAAGTCCGCATGTCTTGGCCTCGTATACGGTCGCCATCCGCATACTCGTCGTTGGCAGAGACTGGTAAACCGACCGAGGGCGTTGACTCTGGCGGTGTGATGACTTGCTGTCGGCTACGGCGTCGGCTGTGTGGCTGTAAACCTAGGGGCCGCACTGGTGGCATAGGGTTGATGATGTGCGGCGGAAGGTGGCCCGGAATCGGCCTTGCGCGACCAACGCCACAGTTCCAGCATGGCGGGCCGATGGTTGTGGTGCAGCGCGGACATCTGCAATCTGGGCGGTGTGTACCTGGCTGTTTCCGGTTCATGCGGTCCCATTGCCGCTCCCGCCGCCGTTGCCGCCTCTGCGCCCGGATTCGACTTCTGGCACTGGCCTCACTGGCCTCCGACGATGACACCTCCGACTCCGATTCGCTTCGGTAGCCAGAGTCTTGTGCTTTCCCTCGTTCTGATGCCTCGACAGCCAGTGCTGACGCTGCTGGCTTGATAGGAATAAAGCTTCTTTGGTAGAGAAAGGCGACGAGAAAGTGGAAAATGGCCGGATCCTCTTCTGGAAAGTCCATGGATTGGGCCTCAGCTTCTCTGAAATCTCCGCAAAGGGCTTTTCGGAAATATTCCGTCGCTAGCAAGATATTTCTGTGTACATGGAAAATCTCTTGATTCGGCGCTCGTCCAACTCGCAAGGGGACGATGGTCGAACTGTATCGACCGTCTGCTGAACTGAGCCACAAATCTTCGCTAGGGCTAGGATCATCTTTCCGTTTGTTCTCTTCGTGTGTCTGATCGATGACAACGACGTCCGGGAACCCGGTCGGTCCTGCTCTCATAACATCGCCCAGCGTTCGAACGGCATCATCTGCATCAGCACTGCTCCCGCCAGCACTATGGGCATGGCTCTGAGTGGACATTTCGCAATGCAGTCAGTGTACGAGGTTGAATCAGTTCGACTCTGTAGGAACTGTTGCGAGGCCGGACCTCACGATATTGTTTTCTGATGAGCTGTAACAGGTGACCAGAAGAGAAAATGAACAAGTCGAGTCGAAGAACCACGAGAAAACAAAAACAAGAAGGAGAGAGAGGAACATGAGAGCGCATTTCGGAGACAAGGAACAACCGCTTCATATAGCTTAGACTTGTACCAGACCGAGGTCAGGCAGCCACACCCACAGCTATATGCAAATGTCGAACAAGACGGATGAGGGTGGGTGGCTCGGTGGGCGGTGGCTGTCAGACCTTTGTTGGTCGCGAGCCTTCTGGGCGCGACCGCCAACTACCTATGGCGAGGCGCACCTCGGTCACTAGAGGTCCGCCGGACAAAACCCTTTCGGGACAGAGTCAGATTCTTTGCTTTTCCCGTCTCCCCTGCTGTGTAACTCGCGCATGAACGGTTGTGTTGTCGCATAGAAGAATCGATTGCATGTCAGGTGCCACCCGGGATTTGCGCTGGGTTTGCCATTCCTAGGTCGATCGGTTGTGGCTCTATTTCTCTAGCGAACATTCCCAGGAATGCCACCCACCTCGGTCTGCTTCCTATGCAATCCGTCGCCGTGGGTGTCTAGGACCCAGGTCAGTCTTGGTGTGGGTACTTGTCTGGACCTATGCGCACCTCCGGAACGGGACGCAGGCAAATGCAGCACCGTACTGCGGGTGCCATGTGATGAACCTGAGTTGCGTTTGGTTGTCTTACACCGTTGCACCTTTTTTTCGTGTTGGTTGCTGTCGGTCTACGGCTTTGTTCCAAAATCGCGGCTAGTCAGACCACTGAGAAGCCACGGGGGCCCAGAGTAGCGGTGGGAGCGGCCCTCTATCACACGCACTTCGCGTTAATATCCGGCCCTGCGAATGCGGTGGGAGGGGCCACCATCCGATGCAATGCAGGTTAGGCATCTTCGTCACCAATTATTGGCGGATGTGCGGCGGCATGCATGCGCATCTATTGCGGGAGGTAGTAAACAGAGCCTATGAGCACCATAGCCAAATGCCCGGGTACGATGTACCAGCTTCGTAACGGCCGCGGTGCTACCAAGCTGCCAGTAAAGAGCGTGCTCTAGGCCGCTCCAACCGTTGCCAACAACCTCCGACATGTTGGTCATTCTTCCTCATAGACTTCCTGTTGCATTTGAATACCTGTACGCAAGTATAGTCAGCTGCTGTGCTAGCCCGACTTACAGTCCACCAACGGCGCCGATATGTCTCTCGGTTTGACTTACGCCACAGTCGGTTGGCCGAATCCGAGATGACCCTGGCCTTGGCCATGAGTTTTCCTTCGTATTTGATACTTTCCTGCTCCTTGATGCGCAATTTACTTGGTTGAGCCTGTCAAACGATGAGTTTGTTATCAATCAAGAGTTCCGTCGCCTGCTTACCTGCATCAGAATTGGTAGGAGCTCGTTGGGATCAGCATTTGCGATGGCCGCAATGCTGCGAAAACCGTTCTCCCAAAAGACTCTTCTGTTCCACAAAGTTAGACGATATTCCGACGCATTCCCCGGTCGCGCAACTTACGCTGTCCGACTCTTCACAAAAGTGATCTTTGCCAAGGCCAGCAAGTCGGCTTTTGCCCCAGCTCTTAAACGGTCCGAAAAGTGATCTAATGCAGCAGACATAACGCTGGCCGATGCGATTAGCGATTGATCTACTAACCGTGTGGCGAGTAGTTCGACTTACCCCCAATCCATGTATTCGCAGAATTTGATCATTCCAGCCGCAAACCCATTGCAAGTTTGGGATAGGGTTTGAACGGCACCTCGCGGCACATCGTACTTTCGCGCCACAACGTGAATGGGCATCTCGTTACACAGGTCTCGTAATTGAAAGGCCATGTAAAACCGACGGTGTACACGAACTACTTCTTTCTCCTCAGCAGTCGTTTCTTTGAGTGCACTACCCTGCGCTCTGATCACGGTTAGCGACATAAAAAAAAGGCGCGAGGGGTGCCTACAGCCGGTTGATTACAGCACGCTTGAGCCCAAGGAAACCGAGAACTCTATGTCCACTTTCATCCATATTGTCCATCTCGTTCCTGAAGACTTGCCAGTTGATGTTGATGCCAGAGTCCTGGACGGGTGTGAAAGTGTAAAGGATATGCATCTCTCCGTCCATAACAAATGCTTGAAGCGCCCTTTCCAGTTCCTTGTGGATGAAGACACCATCTTCAGGATCCAATGCAGAAGCTACAATGGCCCTCCCAAGTTTTGTCGGTTGGTAGTTCTCGCAGTCGTCTACGGACACAAAGCCCATGTTCGTCAGGTTTCTGAGGCTGACCTCGACGCAGTCTTGGAGGGACTCCAGAGGCCCAGAGTGGCTTAGCAAAGTCTTTGTTATGTACTCGTCCAGCGCATCTCGGCTTGTTGCTAACCGTATGGCAATGACTTCCAAAAGTGCTCTGAGTACTGTTAGCACGATGGATACTACTGCGCGTTTATGCCGAGTCTCTGACCTTTGTATTCGCTTTCTGTCCGTCATCAACCCGCTTGTGATTTGCGGTATCTCAGCGTGCATCAAGTCGACAACCTGCTCAAGATCGTCCTTTCGGCAGCACAGGTAGGTTTCTCCGACTTCGTCCTTTCCCTTGCGACCGGCCCGTCCACGCATCTGTCTGAGCATCGATGGCCCTACAAAATCTCTTCCCATACGAGCATTGTGAAGAATTACTCGTCGTGCCGGCCTCAAAGCTGTCAGCAAATCAACCCACGATTGTGCCACACCACTGGACTTACAGGTTTATGCCAGCTGCTAAGCTACATGTTGCTACACACACTTTGAGTGTCCCAGCATCGTATGCATTGGCGATGATGTCTCGTTCTTCCGTGGTAAGACCCGCCTGCAACATTTAGCTACTGATTCGATGACACGGCGTCTAATGTAAACTGACATCTGAATATGATTATGTTAGTTCTTAAGCTTGTCAAAGTTTCGTGGTTGGACTGACGGTGAAATGCAACGCCCATGGGTACCGTCTCTTCCAGAACAGGATCGATACCTGTTCCGAGACTACGCAACTCGGCCATGAGTTCAGTCCTCTTCTCAACTAGACCAGATTCGAGCTCGTCTAGAGCAGGCATGACTTTGGCAATCCAACGGGCGTCTGCTTCACAGCCGTAACGACTGCTGGCGAAGACCAAGGCTCCGTAGCCAGCCTTAGCAGTCTCGCTAGCAAGTGAAACAACAGCGTTGAGTACGGGATCTTGGAATTCCTTGTGACCGGAAGGTTCTATGCGTCTTGTGGCTCTTGATCCCGTCTTTTGAGTGGCTGTATTAAGGTTCTTGGCCGTCTTCAGCAGCTCGCTTGTCGTTGTCGCTGGGTATATGTTGCCTTCGTAAACGAGGTGTTCTTCGATCGGCACTGGACGATAGCGCGTTTCATACGAATGAGCTCCCAGCCACGTAGCCAAGAGACTGATGTTCTAAGATGTCGTGTCAGAATGTGCCGTGGCTGAAAATCTGCAGCAAGATCGCACCCACAGACATGGTAGCGCTCATGCCGATGATTTGCACCGGTTGAGGCAGGGTGAGCAACTTTGTGCCCATTAATTCCATCAGATACCCGCGATGGTCATCGTCGATCATGTGAAGTTCGTCAAGGACAACTGACTTTAAATGTTTAATGGTGCAATCATCTATCGCCGTATTGACAAGTGCGTTGGCCTGTCGGGTCAAAGTTAGCTGAATCCAAGGCGTCGGCCGTATGCTTCCCACCTTCTCTATGGTACACACGCCAATGTCAAAGTCGGACCAAGTTGGCTTAATCTTGCTTCCCCCAAAGAACCCAATGACCCTGATCGTGTCTTCATCTGCTCGCTGCCTCCAGATGCGTTTTTCGTCGTCAATCTCATCTTTTGGTTTCATTACGCCCTGGACGATGTTTCGAAGCCAACGGACCTTTTCCTGTACAAGGGCGACATAGGGTAGAACCAAAAGGACCTTGGCGTTCTTTTCCTCGAGCACCCTCTTCAGCATCAAAACTGTCGTCTAGTCAGTCCTGTGTCAGCCAGAATGATGGACGAACTTGCCGTCAGCCACGAGAGACTTTCCACCTCCGGTCGGAGCACTATAAACGAGGTTTCTTTCGCCAGCGAGAAGCCCCGGTCCGCGAAGGCATGCTTTTTGCCATGGATACATTATTTTGATACCCAGGCTGTAGAAGTTCCGGACCAAGGAACGTGGAAGTCCATAATACGGATGGGCAAGAGCGAGTAAGGGATCCGAAGACGACGAAGGCGTGGGCTGGAGCTCTCTTCGCTGTGTGTATTCAGATGGACCTTGAGTAGCCGCCGGGCTCAATGAGATGATCGGGCTCGCGACAAGCTTCGGGGGCCCAGGTGGTAAACTTGATGCTCTCTGCACTAGCGAGGTGTGACTGGGCAAGATTGTTGGTTTCGGCGCAGTGGGATGGGCAGACTCAGCACGAGGTCGTTTCTGCCCAGCAATTGTGGTTGTCACGGCGTGATATCTCCGGCCTTGCTCCTCGGCAACCTCGACGGATGTTTTGTGCCAGATGCTGTTATTAGTGGCCATTGTGAAGCAAGATGTCACCAAACGTCAAAATGCAGTCCATTGAAACAGGGCAAATCCAAATTTGCAGTTAGATGCAAAAGCCAAGGCAGCAAAAGGACGAGCAGAGAAGTGAAATGGAACGGGTCCCAGCATCAGACTTGAATGTTGTTGTGCATGGGGCTGCATCGGCAGGCAGCTACTTCCTGTTGGTGATGCAACGCTTGTTGCTAAAAATTGGGGAAAGCGCGTCCTGCAGAACGTGTGGAAGGCAGCAGCAGGGATGACCCGCTTCTGCTGGGCCACGCGAAATCATGTGTTGGAGGATGTGGTTTGGTTACCTTAGCATTAGCACCGTGACGGAAGACGGTCGGTGTGGCAGGTATTACCTCATGTGCCGCCCGAAATTTAACCA